TAGTCGCACAGGGTCTCCAGTCGCTTGCTGTCGCCTTTGGCACCATATGCAGTGGGGACTCCCAAGGGCTCTCTGGGGCGGTCAAATTATTCCCAGTTGCAGCATGTGTTCAAACTCCGCCTTCGCCGCCTGAAAACGCTTCCTTGCTAGTCCTCTCGGCCAAGCAAACACGGGATGACCTGAGGTGCGGATATGGTGCATGACATCCGAAAGCAGAGCAAGACGCCCTCGAGAGACTGAAGGCTGACAGAAGCATTGTAGTATTGCCAGCCGTCAAGGGACGTTCCACAGTAGTGCTCGAAACGTCAGATTACCTTCGGAAAGCCAACGTCCTCCTCGATGATCGTCTTGCGTACCTCAGGTGCGACGGAGATCCGATGAAGAAGCTGGTGGCACAAATCAACACGACGCTCGCTGGATTACAGAGCAACGGTGCCATCTCAAAAGCAGAACGACTGACCATTAAACCAACAGATTTGGCTATGGCGAGATTCTATGGTCTGCCGAAAGTGCACAAACCTGCTGCTCCACTTCGACCTATCGTATCTTTGCGCGGAACGCCTACATTCAACCTTGCAAAATGGCTGTTCCGACGTCTGAACTGTCTCACATCAGGCTCCGATACAACGGTCCGCTCAGCCGTACATTTCTTGGAAAGACTCCAGGGTCTACACCTTAATGCAGACGAAGTCATGGTATCATTTGATGTTACCTCACTCTTCACATCAATTCCTCAGAGTCTAGCAATTGAAACGGTCAGCGATCTACTCGACAGTCAATATGACGACGAGGCCAATAAGCTTAAACGAGGACACCTTATCCAGATGCTCCATTTTTGCCTCAGGACCTATTTCACCTTTGAAGGAACGGTCTATGAACAAATCAAAGGAACTCCAATGGGTTCGCCGCTGTCTGGTTTCATAGCTGAGGCGGTCCTTCAAAAGTTGGAGACGCTGGTGTTCGCAACCCACAGACCAATATTTTGGGCACGGTATGTGGACGATACCTTCGTCATCCTCAAGCGGGAGATGGTCTCCGAATTTCACACGATCCTGAACTATGTTTTTCCGGACATCCAGTTCACAATGGAGACAGAAGTCAACAACCAGCTAGCGTTCCTAGACGTCCTGGTCCACCGCAAAACTAATGGGAGCCTAAGAACGACGGTATACAGAAAGGCCACCAACACACGTCAGGTCCTCAGTTACTACAGTAACCACCCGCTGTGCCATAAACGTAGCTGTGTGCGGACTCTTTACAAGAGGGCGGAAACTCATTGCAGCGAGGCAGCCGACAAAGTAGCCGAACTCCATTATCTTCGGCAGATGTTCATCTCCAACGGTTACCCTCGCAGTTTCATCGAACGCAGCAGACAACCAAAGAAGGCTATAAGGTCAACGAGAGAACAACCAACAGTGTGGCGGGCGCTACCGTATATTGAGAATGTATCCGAAGCAGTCGCTCGTCTGTTACAACCACTGGGGATCGGCGTCGCCCACAGACCTGAAGCGACAATAAGGCGTCTCGTCATGAGACCCAAGGCCCCTCTGTCACGAGGCGAAACAGCGAATGTCGTCTACCGTGTCCAGTGCAGTTGCTGTGAGGCGAACTACGTTGGAGAGACAGGAAAACGTCTACAAACCCGCATGAGTTAGCACGCAAGGGCAGTGAGAAGGATGGACCAACTCTCACTGGTGGCGGAACATTGTGCAGCCTCTGGGCACACTTTCGCCTTCCAGAACGCCGAAATCTTAGGCCGAGGTACCGACCAGACAGCTAGGGAAACGCTCGAAGCCTGGCACACCGTACCAACCTCCATCAACCGCTGCACGATTCTCCCGGCGGCCTACCAGGCCCTACGAGTGCGGTTCAACCAACGGAATCAAAGGCAGGAAGTCAGCATCACAAGCCCAGGTGAACACAGTTCGCACCCAAACACCGATGACGGGGGTCAGCAGGCCGATAAAGGAGAAACAGGCAACGGGCCAGCAGCCACTGAGGTGCACATGGGCAGAGGCAAACGGGCGACAATTACGAGAAACGCGGGTCAGGCACAACAAATGCGGGCAATGCAGACGAGGTCAATGACCGTTGCCATCCCGACACAGCCCACCCGACGAGGAGACGGAGGAAGGGACCGACCAGCACGATAGCAATTAACTCCTACCCCCGCAGCAGATCCTGCACGAATAGCAGCAGGAACGACAACACTCCTGCATGCTCAGCACCCATAAATACTGTGAGGCGCCGTACAGAACCCACCTCCGACGATGGAAGCTTGTTTGCTTTTGAAACGTCAGGCTATTAAACCTATGGTTCCCGAGATCGCCTCTTCTTCTCATATATATATATATATATATATATATATATATTGCACTATCCCTGTACATTTTCAGCTCTTACTTACGAAAAACGGTTAGCTATCAGTGAAAAAATTCTTTTTTTATAAAAACACAAATTTAATCTAATTTTTGTTTCCTAAGGACACACTTCCATTTAGGGTTTATTAGATTAGCGGTAGAATGTACTCAAAGTGCTGCCATAAAGTGTGTTTTTGTGTTTGGTATTTTGGTGTATTCTTTGGAGACTGGCAGCGATCAAGTGGTCTTACGATAAACCTATTCTATTGTGCTCTCTTCCGCACAAGTTGAGGTATTGGGAAGTTTACAATTGAAGGATGGACAAGTGAGTCTGGCTTTTTTTCAATATTTATATATGAAGTTGTCATTCTCCAGAGCATTATCATCTCCACTTTGCACTGCGTGCAAAACTACAAGAATTTAAGTCTTTCTCATTGGCTCTTATTATATGTGTGCATAAATGTTTGGTGGCCTTTCGCTTTACGTTTTCACAAACAGTGTAGCTTTGCGGTACACAATGGCCCTGCGTCCGCGGGTAATATTCCAAAAGTGGCCATATAAGTGTTCTAAGCACTCATCCAAATAATAATAATAATATTAATAACGATTTTTATTAAAGACCCGTCGAGTTCCCATTAAAGCAAGTAAAAAACTTAACATGCAAATTTTAGACTTGGTAGGCAAAATCCGTACAAAGTGTGATTCATAGTTTTTGAATTAGTAGTCCACTAATAAAAGTAATTAGGGAGGAGTGAAAAAAAAACTCCACACGAAAATTTAAAAATAATTGGGTTAATTTTACAGGAGAAAAAAACCTCTCGGTAAAAAAGTAACAACAGAAAAATGCGGGCAGGACTGGCTTGCATGTCACGGTATAAAATGGATTATAATTGGACATCGTCAGGGCAGAAATAAATCTCGGCTTTAAAGGGCATTGTATAACGGCGAATACAGGTTTCGCCAAGAGCCTTGAAGGAACGCATTTTGTGAGGGCGCGATGCATGAAATCAAAAATTAACATTTTTTATTGAAATTTACATTTCTGGTGAGGGATCTTAGAAGGCGATACGACTAACAAACGAAGGAAATGTAAGCAGATACGGAAGGTTAGTGGCGGCGTCCGAAATTCTCGGTGGCCCTTTTTTAGTGTCACAGAGAAAGTTGTCCGGTAAGGATGATAAAAATAAAAGTTTAGTCAACTCAGTATTCAAATGAAGGCGTAACCTTCTCTTAAGGGTATTAAGATTATCTAATAATCTTACGTATACTGGAAGCTTATTCTAGAGGAAAATATATCTAGAAGCGAAAAAGAGAGAGAGAGTGGAGGAAGCTGGCGGAGGTATAATTAAGGACGAGTTACAAAGATTGCACGGGCGACCACTTGGGGTAAGTGCTGAAATCCGAGGAAGATTTTAAGTATTATAAATGCGAAGGAGGAGCCAGAAGCCTGCTTCTAGGTCTATTAACTGGCATTTATCAGGACAGGAGATATTGATGATGATGATAATAATAATAATTATTTTATTTAATGGCAGTCTACAAGCATTGACAAGGGAAGAGTTAAACGCAAATCTGACCAGCAGTGAAAAAAACTCCTGAGGTTAAGTAATAAAAATATGGTTGACGGTGAATTTAATGGTTTGTAGGCTTCAGGAGAAAAAACTGCTGGCAGTATACATTCGACCGTCAAGAAGGGTGGGGTGGTCTGCACGGTATCAGAGATTATCGGGCGCCAATTCCTTTCATGAAGTTGGGGATAGTCAAAGTAGAGGCGTTGAGGAACAGCTCTTGCTGTTGGCCCACGAAATTGTCCATGGTGAAACAGGACATTGTGTTCAGAGACCACAAACGCCATCGCTACAATGGAGTCGATCAGTGGATTTAGTACTTAAAATTTGTGGGAGCCTTTCTGAATGCAAAAATAGAATATTATAGAATAGAATAAGTTTATTGTGGCGCCCCTTGGGCGATGTCAGCTCCCTTTGAATTTAGGAAAAAAACCTAAAGCAAACTAGTCAATTTCAACTGAACTTTGACTTCATTTGCTTCGGGTGTCTGGTTAGCCAAAAGAGCGAGAATTGAGACTTTGTTTTAAGTTAAAAAACCGAAGTTCTATGGGAAAATCATAACAAAATTTTCAAAAACTAACGATATGTACAATATAAAAATTGAAGTTTGCAGTTTGGTTGTTTTCGGGGACATGAATAATATGTCCTTTATGGCAATTGAAGAACTTCGATATCGGCCTGACCTTCAAATTATTTTCCTGTTGGGTGTGCTCTAGTTGCTGGTTGTCAGTCTTTCTGGCCAGCTGTAAGAGGGCAGTCGCACAGTTCCTACGTGTTTTGTGGGCCAAATATCAGGAGTTGGCATTTTTCGGGTGAAAATGGCATCTTCCACTGAATACTCCATTCGCTGAGTTTTCAGAGATCAGTTTCAATTTTTCTATGAACATTGACTACTGTATTCCCGTTATATGCATATGCAATTTTATGGTCGTCCGCATATAAAAACGTCTTAGCTGAGCCAAATATGGACAATAAATCGAGTAATAGTTCTCTTAACTAAAGGATAATTTTGCAGATTTTTCACACCCATAAGTAGTTTATTCCAAATAGTAATTGCATTTACAGAAAAGAACCGAAGGTATTTAACAGTACGTGCCAGAGGAAGAAATAAAAAGACCTCACGGTGACTGTTTCGTCGCGGGTGGACATGGTGTGTTAAAGAGGTGAGCGGGTTAAATGTGCGATTATATAAGAGTTTAAATAGCAAAATTAGTCCCTTTTGTAATCTACGGAACCATGAAGTATCAAGGGCCGTTAGCCGGCAACGTTCTTGATAAGATAAATATCGGTGTTCCGGGATTAAAACTCTCTTGGTAAAAAGGAATTGATCGGATTCAATATTTGAGTGTTCCTGGAAGAGAAGTTCTCTAGAAAAACATCTTTGGACATTTTTCATTTTGAAACGACTAGCCTCATCCACCAAACCAAACAACGGACAACAATACTCCAGAATGGGAAGGACAAACAAACAACAAAGTCTTAATTTAATTTCAGCAAAATTGAGATTGTACGAAATAAAGCTGTGGCCGTCAAGGATGTGAGATCAACTCAAGCCACGCATAATAAGTTCTTTTCGTCTACTGTCAGAATTCAGGGAGCTGTGACGACTACTTTTATTCTATACACAGGGCAGGTTGACGAGAATGGGCTTTTTGCTTGCAACCGAGATAAGCGTCCGTTCATGAAGTGTATCAGTCGCGGTGTGTTTTTTACGTGGGAGTGGGTGCCTAAGTCAGCAGGAAAGGTGACTGGCTGAGTGTCGGTCATGTGATTGGACAAATTAGGGGAGGAATAAGGGGCGCATCTACACAATGCCTCACGGGTATCAGGCCAGGGTGTTAGAAGCGCGTAGGTGATGAAAGTATGTGAGGTCAGCCGACAGTCACTTAAGTTTGACCTGAGGTGTCTAAGTGACAGCCGGCAGGGTTGGCTGTGTGTCAACAGCTGTCGCGGCCATTGTTCGAAAAAAAGCAGCCGGAGAAAAGGGGAACTGGAGCGGCTGCTCAAAAGCCATAAATCTGGAAGCTTTGGCTGTAATTCTGTCAGCGTGTGGCGAAAGATGAAGATTGTTAGGCTGGCTTAAACCGTTATCATCGATGATGGTACATTCAGTCATAGGTGTGCCTTGAAAGACCAAGGTTGAGGTAGTAATTCAGGTTCAAAACACTTAAAGCGAGATTTAGAAGGAGAGAATTCCATTAGCCAATTCGATCTTTAAGCTGAGAGAGCAAGCAAGTCAGCATGGATTTGCTTAAGCCCATAAAGGCTCATAGATTTTTTGAAAAAATATACACATGTAAGATCATCGGCATAAAAAATGGACTAATAACGCTTAACAGCTGTCGAGACATCATTTATGCAAAACCCGAACAAAAGAGGGCCTTAACCGGCGCCCTGTAGGACACAACTTACAATAGGGCTTTCACTAGAAAGTGAAGATCCCGCCAAAACCTTTTGTTTACGATTCGACAGGTATGACCTGATAAAGTCTATTAGTCGACTGCGAATTCCTATAGATTTTAATTTTACAAGTCTTTTATGTGGCATTTTATCGAGGGCCTTACTAAGATCGAAATAAATAACGACAACAGATAGATGGTCTTTACGAAGAGGCGTCAGCAGATTGAGAAATAACAAACGACATGTTTTATAAGAATGATCTGGTAAAAAACTATGCCAAGAAGTGCTACCAACTTGATTGACTATGCGAAAACTCGTTTATTTTAA